AACTTCACCGACGAGTCCGGCAACCCCATGATGTACTTGGTGCACGAGTGCTACAGCAGTAATTTCCTGTCCTATGTTACAAGAAAAGGTATAAAACCCGGTCTGTGAGCACGTAGAATTTTGTCCAATGACCCCAAGCTACCCATCCTTATCGCTCGCGTGTAATTATATTGCTGTCGCGACTGTGCGACGGGCGCCCGCAGTGAGTGTGCAAGCGCGACAGCAACATAATTACGCGCGAGCGATAAGGATGGGTAGCTTGGGGTCATTGGACAAAAATTCTACGTGCTCACGGACCAGGCTTTAGCATTAGTTAAGAGCTTTGGCAACAAACGTAGAAAAGTAGTCAATGGCATACCAACCTTCTTTTTGGATGTTACACGTCTTCAACAACTATAATATTATCCAAAAATGTTTTAAAACTTGAAAAAAAAAACAATAGCATCAATTGAGAATTAAATCCTAGTACTTTCGCTTTCCGGGAGACTGTTCTGAACCCGGAGCACGAATAAATATCGTCCTCATTATGAAAAACAAATTGATTCCTAGAGTTATTCGTGCTTAAGGTACTAATAGCTGAGATAGATTTTTTCAAGTTTTTAAATTAGTCTGAGGAACTATACTGGTTTCCCAATGATTTCCTTAATGACCTATGTTCAGCAGTGGACGTCCTGTGGCTGAAATGATGATGATGATGAAGTATAGATAATTAAATTGTCATATTTACGTCTTATTACGTCAAAACTGTGGAATGGACTGTCGTCTGCGGTGTTTTCGGACGGATACGACAAGCTTTCAAGAGGAGAGCGTATCTTCACCTTAAAGGCCGGCAACGCACCTGTAACGCCCCTGGGTCTGCGAGTGTCTATGGGCGACGGTAATCACTTACCATCAGCCCCCCTAGACAAAACGCACTTTTTGATCGAATTGAAAATCGAATCCGTCAAAACTTCATACAAAAAAGGGGCTTTTCGACCACTTTTTGACTGGTTTGCGATTATAATTTGCACTTTGTCTAGACCCACAGGTGATCCGTCTGCTCGTTTGCCTCCTGTCACATAAAAAAAAAACACCTTACGTTGCAGGTTTCCCGTTCACCATGGAGATGAAGGTCTACATAATGATGCTGCTGGAATCAGGCCTACCTGACGCATACTACCGTTTCACCCAGAACGCCTTAGGATTGGCGAAGAAAACCAGCATCATTAACTCTGAGCCTAGGCCTTTTGCCCCTACCAATATTCTGGAGCTAAGAACTGCATTTATATTTCTATGCGCTAGTTACTTTATTTCCACTTTTATGCTCGTCATAGAGATATGGTGGGCCAAGAGGAAAGAGAAGATGTTGAGGAATTTTGTACTGTGAAATCAGAATTGCTTATTAGAAGCAAAAAACTTCCTTAAACGAGTAGAAGACATACTTCTACAGAGAAAAAAAAGAGAAGTATTGTACCTAGTTTGAACATTTTTTTGGTAAAGAAGTCAAACAAAATTACTAGATTTGGAACCAGTTTCACCCTTTCCTGATAGTGTGTGTTTGTAGTTTATCTGACATATTAGTACCTACCTAATAGCAAATAGAATAGGGTTTTTACGTAAGTTCTGAAATAGAACCTTAAAATTACGTTCTTAAATAAAACAATACAATTAAATGGTGGTAATTACATGTATTTTCATGATACACAATATCTGGCTATAACAATAGACGCCACAAGACCATTTCTACAAAATAATAAAAATAAAACAAAATAAATTGGCTAAAAGTCAGTAAATAAAAACCCAACGAAACTACATTATATCTAACACATGAGCCACATTGAGCCAAAGGTAAAAAATCTCACTTATCTATATACATAATTAATTTAAATAATATTGTCAGCTATGTCTTAACAATTTTACTATACAGTCTGAATGTTATATTGCACATTTCACCTGGCGATTCATTCATCATGAAATATTTAAAAGAATGTTTTAACGAATTCGGTCCCTTTAATGAAAAATCATAGGTACTTAAATAAAGTGTGAGTGATGAGTCAGCAAAATACGGCAAACTTGATAGTCAAAGACAAACAAAGCCTTATAGGCTTCAACCTCGAAAGCACATTATAAGCTTATTGTTGACGACTCATGATCAATATCAGTAATCGCTTTATGTAACAAAAACAGCATGGTTCATTGAGCACAAATAACAATGCATTTTAATATCTTATGAATCCGATAACTTGAGTATTATGGGATAGCACTATTTACTGAACGGTATGTGATGATTTAAAATGTCAACTAAGATGAAAACTCCACCAACTGAGTCTGATATGTGTCATACACCCACCCCTCCTTTACAAGATTTTTCTTCAGAGCCAGGATTGCCATTTAAAACACAAGCAACAGAGAAATCAATCAGACATGAAATAAGGTGAAGAAAATCAAGAAAAAATATCTTTACTGGTACGAGGGTTAATAAGAAAGAAGATAATATAACAGCAGAGATCCAAACTAATTAATTTCTGTAATTTCGCAACTGTTGCTCATGACATTTGTCTAGTAACAACCAATCAAAGTGTGGTTTTAAATGGCATATCACTGCAACTTCTAGTTACTTTTGTAAAAGTAACTAGAAGTTCTAGTTTCGTTGCAGTTGCGTTTCACCGTGTGTTCTGGGCCTGACTCTATAACAATCACAGTTTGTTTTTATACCAACAAACGATTATGTGTTTTACGTTCAAAGACTCACAACCTATTATTGCGAAAATTCTCTGTCATGAAATGTTTACACGGAGTATCCTAACAATAATATCACAATTGTCTGTCTGTATCCATCCAGTCTTACTACTTTGAGCTGCTCTATGAAAATATTTAAATTAACTATGATACATAAGAGCTGCGAATTACTTTACAATGTCATTTTATAATATGAAACCTAAACACTGATAAGTACTAACTAGTACATACGATTATATTATTATAAAAAAAATCGCTAGACATAACAAAAAACACAAGTAACAGAGATAACTTACTAATTTAAGGCAATAATAATGAATTAGAACTACATCCCTATCATCTTAAACAAGTCCGACATATTTATTTATCTATTGAATCAGCTAAAGCCCGGTCTGTGAGCACGTAGAATTTTGTCCAATGACCCCATGCTGTCGCCACTGTGCGACGGGCGCCCGCAGTGAGTGTGCGAGCGCGACAGCAACATAATTACGCGCGAGCGATAAGGATGGGTAGCTTGAAGTCATTGGACAAAATTCTACGTGCTCACAGACCAGACTATAGTAGCAGCTGTGCGCATCGATTTTAGTATGCAATCTATGCCTTTAAGATACAATTGTCTATTAAATTATGTGTTCACAAATTAACACGCATTCATTATAGCCGATTGTTTCAAGATTCTCCTGTCAGAAGTGTAAGGCCGTCTATACACTTTTTTTGACAGAATAGTCAGCGTCACTTTACTCACCCTACATAAGAGTACAAAGTCTGTTAGGCTACGGTCTCCTATAAACGCCTTAGGCCAGTACAACGTCACCCCGCAGGCCGCGTCACAACAATGCTTACTATAGAAATGCACTGTTGTATAGTCCGGTCGCCGAGCACGTAGAATTTCGTCCAATGACCCCAAGCTACCAATCCTTATCGCTCGCTCATAATTATATTGCTGTCGCGACTGTGCGACGGGCGGCCGCAGTGGTGTGCGAGCGTGACAGCAACATAATTACGCGCGAGCGATAAGGATGGGTAGCTTGGGGTCATTGGACGAAATTCTTCGTGCTCGGCGACCGGGCTTTAGTCTCCTTCAGACGTTGACGTTGGCGTAACCTTTGACTCGCTCGTCGTACGTCGCGTATAGCATTAAATAGGAAACCATAGCCTAATGATTAATTTCCTGAAATTAAAAAAAGGCTGAATCTGTCCTAAACAGCAGACATACTGACATTCTACTAGTCTATGCTACTGTTATGTAGACATTTATTCATTATTGCACCAAATATTTGTACAAATGGCAGGCTCAGTGCCTGGCATTCTCTCAGTCAACCAAATGGTAGTAGTAAAACTATTGATTTATACATGACATGATATTCCAAATTGAATGTCTATGGTCAGACCTGACATTAAATGTCAAAATGACAATTTTGACATTATCTGACCTATCAATCAAATGAATGAGTTACAGGCGTTGAATCAGCACTATTGAATATTATTATTGTTTTGAGGAAAATATTAACATTCTTAGAACAGAATTTAAAATATTTGAAGTATTCCTACAAAAAAATAACATGTGCTTGCTTTTGCCTCTTAATGGCGCACATATACACAGAGTATAACAACTAAAATGGCAAGATAAGAAAGGAATCGCTTATTACAATAATTATTATGGTCATGGATACAAGGCATTATAATACTTATTGCACTATAGAATGTACAGTAAAAACTCTAATATAATTCATCTACTAACCATACATAATCAGATATTTCTTCTAAATAATTACAATAATTATTCCTTAGTGAAACCAATTTGCTAAACTACAGCTATAAAATTATTTATTGCATAAAATCTGATTGCTGTCATTACCATAAAAACATTTCGTATAAAAATTCTAAACGCTGTTTGCAGAAATTCTAATGTTGCCAGTAACATACACAATGGAATCGAATGTTGCCAGTGATATTATAAACGAATTATGAATTAACGTCAATATTATAAATATATTCTGCAACGTAACCTACTTTGTTTTGATAACATTTGGACGGACTACAAAACCAGAAGAAAGGCCTTCTTATTATTTTTTGTTGCAACAAATAAAAAAATCGTGCAAAATAACTGCTTAAAGTCAAATTACTAACTTTCAAATTCTAATTCTATTTAAATCTCAATGAGGGCTATCGTTTTTATACTTAACAGTTGGCACCCCTGGCGATTGACAGGACCTTACTCTACAGTGGCGCCATCTTGATGAGTTCAAATGCGATAGTCCTCCTACCACTTTAGCGCTCACAAGTTGGTGCCACTGTCTTCGCGACTAGCAAGTGACAGGACCTTACTCTCTACAGTGGCGCTAACTGGTGAGCGCTACAACGATAGCCCTCATTACAACAACTCAGTGTTGCCAACCAAGAAAAAACAAAATCAGAATTCCTGCAAACATCCGCAACCGACTTAAAGTTTTAACCGATCAACCAATTATAAAGGTGGGGGCACACCCGTGCGCCCCTACGCAGCTTATATCACCTGTATACCGGTAGGCACGCGATAGTCACCACGATCGCGCAGAAAAGCCATTGCTATTTTGACGCTCGGCCGTTTCTTCTGTTCCCACCCTTACTGGAAGGTGTGACGTCATCGGGGAGGGAAGGTTTGCGAGAGTACCAACCGCACATTCGGCGAGCGGCGTCCTCCCAGCGAGCTATGTGCGCCTGGTAGTTTCGGCGGGATTCGCGGCGAGGTTTCATGACCGAACCTACCTTTCTGAGGGTTATGAGCTCTTCTTTGGATTTCCAGATACCTGGAATGAAAATGTGATTGTTGTAGGACTTGTAGATTATTAAAAAAAAATATTTCAATATTGCCTGTTTTGACGACGATTTTGACTTTTAATTCATTTGCCCTTAGCGCAAAGTCAGTATACAGAACTGCTAATGATGATGATGATAATTACGATGGTTTTGATGATGATGATGGTGACGATAACTACTCATTTGTAGCCCCACAATATCTTACCGAAGACATTTCCATGTTGACTGGCTGCTCTACCCTCAAGGTGGCCACAATTGACTACAAGATGTCGGTGATGATGAACACACACAATAATGTGCTCGCACTCCAGAGTGGACTTCTCCATGTTGATGATGATGATGATGAACCTCTGGACTGAAGATTCCGGGTGAAGCTCGCTTCCACCTTCGGCCTGATCATCACTTACCATCAGCTTCCTCGCTTTGAATAAAAAAAAATGATGATGAAGTGATGATGATAATTCACTTACCTAACTGTAGCCCGACAATGTGAGCGCATCCTAGCGAAGACATCTCCACATTGACTGGCCTCTCCACCCTCAGTCCGGTCAGGTCAGCCACTAATTGAGCCACGAAGTCGTTGTTAGACACGCCTCCGTCCAGTCTGTAACGATAATAAATAGTGAAATTATAGTTTCTTATTTTTTTTTATCCACAACGAGGAAGCTCTTGGCCTGTATCTCACCTGATGGTAAGTGATGATCTATTGTACATGTTTCAAATTGTAAGCGAAAGTTTACGTCCCAAAAACAGTCATCCAAAGGTACACAACGCAAGTGCCAATGATCAAAACAAAAGGTTAGATAAGGTAATGAGTGACAGAGTTGTATACAAATCTTGGCAGGCTCAATCGAACTGACGAAGGCTAATTAAGACCCGGTTTCCACAAAAGCGGAGAAGAAAAATGTTTTGAATAACCAATCAGATTTCATCTCCAATAATGAATGAATGCAGAATCAAAATATCTGATCGGTTCATCATCATCATCATTTCAGCCATAGGACGTCCACTGCTGATCAAAGGCCTCCCCCAATGCTTTTCATGTTGATCGATTGGTAGCGGCCTGCGTCCAGCGCTTCCCTGCTACCTTTATGACGTCATCGGTCCACCTTGTAGGTGGACGTCCCATGCTGCGTTTTCCGGTACGCGGCCTCCATTCCAGAACCTTGCTGCCCCATCGGCCGTCAGTTCTGCGTACTATGTGCCCTGTCCCTTGCCACTTCAGCTTGCTAATCCGTCGGGCTAAGTCAGCGACTTTAGTTCGTTTACGGTTACGATATGATTGGTTATTCAAAAAAATTCTCCGCTCCGCTCCGCCTTGATGGAAACCGGGCCTAACAGTGCACACCGAAGCACGAAACCATTTCGTTTATTCAGGGAATAATTAATCGAGTGAGTGACGTTATTATTTACCCGTTTTTTTAGACCAAAAATAACTGGTGTTAAAAATTACATTAAATTATAAATTAAAATGTATTTTCAAGAATTTTTGAACAAATCTACATTGTTAATGCACGCTCGTGAAAGATTTTTGTCATCACACTGAGTGATATCGACGTAAAATGTAAATCTTACCTTATACTATGAAAATCGAAGTCAGTTTCATTGCGCACGCAGTCATAAAGCTGCGCGGTGCGAAACGCGAGCGATTCTAGCACCGCTCGCACCAGGTGCGCTCGAGTGGTCGAGGGCTTCATGCCTACGAAACCTGACGCGGCGGTCCCGTCGTTATATGGGGGCTGGAAGAGATAGATACATTATGCAATTTAATTATTAATTTTAAGTTTCTAGACAAAGAAAGAAGAAAGAAAGAAAAACATTTATTTGGTTCCAACTTAAAATATAACACACAGATAACAAAAAACAAGTACAAGTTAGAACCAAAATTGGCCACCGCTCAGCATGTGTCATGCTCTGGAGTGGTAGATAAAACCCATTCGTTATAGATTCGCCTTCGTGATTCCGTATGTTTCTAAAGATTAGAAACATACGGAATCACGAAGGCGAATCTATAACCACAGATAATATAATACTAGTACAGATGCATCATCCCATACTCGAAATGTGGCCGACCTAAGTCTTGAAACTGCTCGGGCCCGCGTGGTTTCCTAGTGGTGATAACAGATCGCGCTAGTGTGCCGCAGCGGACTTGACCGTCCCGCGGTTTGCGACCCGCTAATGCTTTCTATTCTAGCAACTTGAGCGGAGTATTTATTTGGCGTGCTATATCAAAAGATGGCGCTAAAGCCAATAAGTTTACTGCTTTGTTTATGAAGGCATGTAACTAAGCAAAAAACAGATTAGAGACGCTATTGAAAATTTCGACACGGTATAATAATGTCCAAGTAGCACAACGATCACAGCCGACGCTCAATATCCAGCACCGTGGGTTCGTATCCCGCTACAAATTATCATCATAAAACTCCATTTTGTTTTATTTTATTAGGTATATAAAACAGGAAAATATCGAAACATGCAGTAATAAAGGTAGATATCAATAAAAAACTTATTTTTTCCATAAAAATATTCAGAAATAATTATTATGTAAAAAAAACATAACCCTCCTTCTGGAGCAGTCAAGTAAATATCAAATGAACTGTTCGTAAAAAATACAAAATCCAGTTTTAGTTTTTCGTACTCGTATCGTAGTTTATTCAAAAATATGCCTACATTTTAATCGACTTGCACATACAGGTTTAAGATTTAGGATTATCTGTGATTTAGGTTTAGGTATTTTGTTGCATTGCATTCGTTTGCGCGTCACTCGCGATAATAATAGCACCTACCTATTTATTTACGAGTAATAATACTGCGCTGGCACAAAATATACCTAGGTGACAAAATCTGGGGCCACGGCAGTGCCCCCACCAAGTCGAGCAAAAAAGCGGCACGGCCGTACCATCCTTTTCTCGAAGCAATTCAGGCCATTTTCGACTGCCTGTAACTTCGTTGTGGATAAAACTAGAAGTCTGAATTTTCATTAGCTATGCAGGCATTGTAAAGACACGGTATATTTAAAATTTCATTCAATTTGAACCAGTAGTTTAGGAATTATAACGGGTCAAAGTTACTTAATTTTGTCACTCACTGACTCACTGACTCACCGATCATCAAAATTCTAAGGCACTTCTAGCAGACCTAGAAGCTTCAAATTTGGAATATAAGTAGTGTTTGGTGTATGAATCAAGGAAAAACTAAAATATTTGGGGGCACGGTAGTGCAACCGCCAAGTCGAGTAAAATTTTTCAATTTCGGTCCAGTTTTCGGAGTGGCCGACTCGAGATCCGGGGAACGCGGGTTCGAATCCCACCGCCGCTCGACTATTGTGGTGAGCCCACTCGTAACACAAGCTCATTTAGTTTAACACGAGGGGCTAATGGGACTATTAGTAATATTTGGAATACAAATTGCTAATAATCTTAAAAAAAATAATCAAAATTGTCGATTTTAGGCGCCACAATGTTAGACAAATTATAGCCAAACTTTTGTAATACTAATTTGTGTTTCTTTCATTTTTATTTGAATGTAGATGTTTTTTTTTGCATTTTGCAAGAAATATGACAATTAATAAAAATAATAATTTGTTGCAAAACCAAACCTATTTTAGTATTTTTATAAGTGACGAAATAAAACAGCAGCGATGAGCGCCATCTATTACATCATTTGTAACTAAATGCTACTTCGACAGCGCCGCAAAAACGATTGCTTAAGACTTCAGTTTTTACTAAAGATAAAATTTTATTATATGAAGAAATATTGTTTATTTGAATCATTCACTGTGTTTAAATGAACAAATTAATGTGTAAAACATTTTTTCATTATAGTTTACAGAGCATTAGTGACTTTTTACAAACGTCTTCAGAAATTCGATACTTATGTCGCCATCTAGTGAGATTGATTTGGAATGATTCAAGATTTATAGGCATCGGGTTCCCGTGCTATAACGAATGTTTCTTTCCAAAAATGGTCACCGCAGAATAACAGCGTCATGTTTTGTTCTAATCTTTAGAAACATACGGAATCACGAAGGCGAATCTATAACGAATGTTTCTTTCCAAAAATGGTCACCGCAAAATAACAGCGTCGTGTTTTGGGTTTTATCTACCACTCCAGAGCATGACACATGCTGAGCGGTGGCCAATTTTGGTTGGTACATAAAATCTACTAATATTGTGAAGTTTCATATGTGACAAACACTGATCTTTTACTGTAAAAATCAGGGTGAATGAAGCCCTCAAATACTCCTATGACCTATATTTATTTTTGTCACATTGAGTGCTCTACGTCAGAATTATTAATCCTGAAAAAAATGTTGTGACGATATAACTAATTTAAATGGAAACTTACGCCCAAACCGCTGAAAGCTGGAATGAAGTAAACTCCATCTGAATCTGGAACTGATTGAGCAATTGCCGCCGTATCTTCTGGATTTTCGAATAAACCTGAAATAAAAAACATTAAATTTTTGATTTTATCTCTATAATAGGATTATTTTTGCCGTTAGTAATATAATAATCATAACAAAGAAATAAGGAGCTCCGTAAACGAACTAAAGTCGCTGACCCGACGGATTTGCAAGCTGAAGTGGCAATGGGTCTGCCCACGACGATTGACGGCCGATGGGGCAGCAAGGTTCTGGAGTGGAGGCCGCGTACCGGAAAATGCAGCGTGGGACGTCCACCCACAAGGTGGACCGACGATCTCTTAATAGGTTGCAGGAAGACGCAGGACGCAGGCTGCTACCAGCCGGGCATCATGGAAAGCATTGGGGGAGGCTTATGTTCAGCAGTGGACGTCCTATGGCTGAGATGATGATGATGATATAATGACCAAGATATAATCTTAAGCATCTACCACCTTAAACTTATCACCAAGGGGCAGGCTCTTGCCTATCTGCTGGCCCCCCAAGGGGTCCAAGCGGCCCCGTGCGTGCGGCTGCGACCTTGTATCGATGTGAAAGTGTTGATGATCGACGCAGTATCGCTGTTAGCTCCTTCGGCCAAGTACACCTGCTCCTTGCCTATCTACCATCCTACTACGGGGTCCAGGCGACCCCGTGTCGATGTAGGACTCACCTAAAGCTTGCGCCCACTTGATGATCGACGCGGTATCGCTGTTGGCTCCTTCAGCCGAGTACACCAGCTCCTTGCCTATCTACCATCCTACTACGGGGTCCAGGCGACCCCGTGTCGATGTCGGACTCACCTAAAGCTTGCGCCCACTTGATAATCGACGCAGTATCGCTGTTGGCTCCTTCAGCCGAGTATACTAGATCCTTGCCTATCTACCATCCCACTAGGGGTCCAGGCGACCCCTTGTCGATGTAAGACTTACGTAGGGCCTGCGCCCACTTAATGATCGACGCGGTGTCGCTGTTGGCTCCTTCAGCCGAGTACACCAGCTCCTTGCCTATCTACCATCCTACTACGGGGTCCAGGCGACTCCGTGTCTATGTGAAACTCACCTAAAGCCTGTGCCCACTTGATGATCGACGCGGTATCGCTGTTGGCTCCTTCAGCCGAGTACACCAGCTCCTTGCCTATCTACCATTCCACTACGGGGTCCAGGCGACCCCGTGTCGATGTGAAACTCACCTAAAGCCTGTGCCCACTTGATGATCGACGCGGTATCGCTGTTGGCTCCTTCAGCCGAGTACACCAGCTCCTTGACTATCTACCATCCCACTAGGGGTCCAGGCGACCCCGTGTCTATGTCAGACTCACCTAAAGCCTGCGCCCACTTGATGATGGACGCAGTATCGCTGTTGGCTCCTTCCGCCAAATACACCAGCTCCTTGCCTATCTAACATCCCACTACGGGGTCCAAGCGACTCCGTGTCTATGTGAAACTCACCTAAAGCCTGTGCCCACTTGATGATCGACGCGGTATCGCTGTTGGCTCCTTCAGCCGAGTACACCAGCTCCTTGCCTATCTACCATTCCACTACGGGGTCCAGGCGACCCCGTGTCGATGTCAGACTCACCTAAAGCTTGCGCCCACTTGATGATCGACGCGGTATCGCTGTTGGCTCCTTCAGCCGAGTACACCAGCTCCTTGCCTATCTACCAGCCCACTACGGGGTCCAGGCGACCCCGTGTCGATGTGGGACTCACCTAAAGCCTGCGCCCACTTGATGATCGACGCGGTATCGCTGTTGGCTCCTTCAGCCGAGTACACTAGCTCCTTGCCTATCCAACATTCTACTACAGGGTCCAAGCGACTCCGTGTCTATGTGAAACTCACCTAAAGCCTGCGCCCACTTGATGATCGACGCGGTATCGCTGTTGGCTCCTTCAGCCGAGTACACCAGCTCCTTGCCTATCTGCCATCCCACTACGGGGTACAGGCCAGATACACTAGCATGGGGATGCAACCCCGTATTGATGTCGAAGAATGTTCCCGTTCCCATGGTCAGTTTGACGTCACCAACTTCGAAGCAACACGAGCCCCACATTGACGCTGTCTGGTCTGCCATCTGCAATTTGTTATCATCATTATACCATTGTCACAGTGAAGCATCGTGAACAAAGGTAGACTCATATGACGCGGTAAGTTACGAATCTAAACACGAAACAGTCACAATGACCTAATAATGCAATCATCGATTGGTACATTATTGTTGATTATCAATAACTAGGCGTAGGCAATACAAAAACAAATGCGACTGAATACCTTATTTACTATGGGTGAAATATTTGCAGTTAATTTTATTGGAAAGTCGATAACACAGTAGACTATACAAAAATATAAGACACTGCGGTGTTAATGCGCTATCATGTATACTAAAACATTATTTTGGTAACCAAATTATTGCAGTATAACGCAATATTTCTCAAAGCCACAAATTGTTCAGTTTTTATTCAGTACATAGGCCCTTTCTTATAAACGTTCCAAATATAGCCTCTTTTCAATCAGATACACCAAAATACATTAAACAAGATATGTACCTAATAAGTGCGACCTAGATTAATATGCATTCTGTGGTCACCTCTAATTGGAAGAGCAGTTAACTTTTAGAAACTATTAACTCTGTTAACCTCACAGTTTCTTATGAAAAAAAATAATTCATTATGCAACTGATGATATTTTCATTCATGGGTTAAAAAGCTGTAAATGATGCATACCGAGCTCCGTATGGGTATCGGGTGGCCCCATATAGCAGGAGAAGTGCTGATGAAGTGATCACCAGCGGTGTCTACCACCATAGGCAGCGCTTCTTCTGGTATTTTGAACAGCGTCATGGCCCAACCGGCCCATTGCATCGTGAAAGGGTCGTAGAAGCCAGTAGCTGATGCCGATGATACGTCCGTCATGTGGATTTTGTTACCTGTGGTTTATGAAGTAAGGGTTATATTACCTTGCATTGATAATGACTGAGTCACAGAATACAGTGTAGGTAACCCTTTCGAAATTTTCAAGTTTACTGACCATTTTGAACTACGGTTATATAAATCGTTTCATCCACGAAAACGCGGGACGCGTTTTTGGTCGAGGGAAGCGCGGGGTGCGGGGAGTTTGATGCCACCAATCCGAGCGTCATTATTATAGTGTGCGTGTGCACTCATGGAATAATTTAACGTGTACCGATAACACTCAATCATTAGCGGAAGAATGGTGGGGCTTCGTGGATGGCACGATCTAATCTAAGTATACAACTATAAATATTGAATTTGATAAAGGACAAGAGAACGTCTACATATCCACTTTTGCAAACCGGGTCACAGTGCATTTATCGTATCAAGAAACCACAAAGCTAAGTGGTGGTATTATCGTCTAAATTGGATTCACATTGAGCCTTTGTGAATGACAAAAGATCTAACAAGGCACTTGTTACATATTTCTAGACTTCAACGCGCATTTTTGATGCATTCGAATACTGTATCGCATACGAAATCGCATAAAACCTAGGTATTGTGGAAATTGGAATTCTAATGCTATCAAAATACGCCTCAAACTCGTGTGATTTGTGTCGTGATAACAAAAGGTTAAGAAGGCTACCGACCTACAAACGCTATTTATAATAATTTAATTATAATACAAGTGACTTTCCGATATGATAATAAGTGTGATTGCACGCTTTCGACTTTGAAAGGAACTTTGGAGCTTGAATTCTCGATACTTCCAACAAGCGAAACTGACATTTTATCGATTTTAAATGTTGGTGTTGTTGATAGGACTTAGTTCGCAGTAGAGTTCAATCTCAGAGGCTTTGCTTTTGCACAAATGCTACGAAACTTATAACTCATTTATAAATGTTGGTTAAAAAGGTACATACATTATTTTGATCGTAATTAAAATGGAACAATCGGTATACGATCTCAAAATATTGACATAGCGATTAATAGCAATGAATGTCGAATGTAATCAACGAAGAATGCAGCGAACTGATATTTTCACGCATCGAAGAATATTAGGAATGTAGGACTACGTAATTTACGTAACCAATAAATACTTTTTATTTGCTCTAATTGCTATACTCCAAATATTTTAATTAGTAGGTAATTTTCCGTTGAATGAAATAGACTGCTTTGTAATTTGTATCACCTCTACATTATACATGTATGATGTTTTTGTTTCATACTAATTTACCGCGACAACTAGGTTATGCTCAGGTAAATAAGGTTTTTGCCAATATTTTACCCTTATATTCAATTTATATCTTTGGACACACACAGCGCCATCTAGCCCCACAGTAAGCAATTAATATGCTTGTGTTATGGGTGCTAGCTTAACGGATTCATACATAATGTAAGAAAAAGGTGTTTACATTCTGAATTTCTGACGTCATTTAGGGCTCTATGCCCTTCAATTGATGTCAGAGCGACTTTTATTTTGGTTCTTATTGTTAGAAATTGCTTCTTGCTGACTATGCGTTTACTGTACGCAGTCAAGATTTAACCTAAAGTTAGGGAAACTTATAAACTATTCTTTCTGTAACTAAAATGGTTAAAGTATATTTTACCTGTTAGTTTATACAATAGCCAACAGTCCAGTGTCCCAAACATAGCGTCTCCTTCATCTATGGCCGTCTTTAACTCTGGTACGTTGTTCACGGCCCAGTGCAGTCTTAACGTAGTCTGTAACAACACAAGATTCATTATTATTTAAAACAAACCAAATAGATCAACTATTCAAAGTAAAGGAGTCCTGTCTCTGACTGTTCAAGGCATATTTTGGGTAAGTTCGCACTTTCGTTTTGGTTTATCCATTTTATAGTTCGCGCCAGTAGAAACTGACAATTTTATTTTGGAAATATATTTTCATTCTGATTAATATTTGGAGATTTTCTATCTTCTCCCTGTGACAAAAATGTCGTTTGATCGTCACGCAAACTAATTTCCATAGAGTGGAAATGTTTAATGATAACTATTAAAAACCTATTTACAAATTATATTTATCATAAAAAATATTATAAAACAGATATTTTCAGAGAGTTAGGTAGGTAGGAAAGTATGTTCTAAGTTTGATGACAAGGTCAGTCAATGCACTTTGCTCCTACAGCTTGTATGTTTCCATTCAGTGTTTTATGTTTATTTTCGCGTGTTGTAGGCTGTAGGTAGTAGCGTTAAATATAGTCAAAACAAGAGGTCACGTGTTCGAATTTCAGCAGCATATTATGCCGTTATGTAGGTATTGAGTTATTTTCGAATATTTCGATTTGCTAGTCGATTCGTCACACTTATGATTATGTAGCATAATGTCTTGAAGTGTTGCCATATAACTACTTGATCATAATTATGACGAATTTAATTTCAATTTATGGAACTTACAAAAGTGGCAAACTTTGTGGCAAATCGACAATATCCCTTCAGTTACTTCAGAATATAATATACTTAGGTAGATTCTTTTGTAATTAAGAATATCTTTAGTAAAAAAAACTACAGCAAGTACCTCTAAAAAAACTTTAAACAGAAGGCCGTTTACACATTATGCATGCCGGCTCCGTAGCGCCGCTGCACTAGTCTACCTTGTACTTATTATGGGGCTTTCTCTCACATGCAATAATATACTTAGACATTTTCATTGGAATTTAAACCATACTCAAGCGGAATAAGTTACGTAGTTTATAAGTCTAGTGCGCGGGAATGTACCGCGATGGCAAAAAACGCTGCGCCGCTGCGCATACATAATGCGTAAATGCCAAGACTATTAGACCATAATAAGAAGTAAATCACCTAAAACAAATCCTTTGGGCAATAAAGATCAGAATTCATAATCAGCCTATAAAAACATGCAATTTATCCTTGAACCTTTATTGATTTAACAAAACAAGTCTTCTTTGCGAAGTACAACATAAAATATTTGGATAGCAAACTTACCTGAGAATTCATAAATCTCAGAGCACTTCCAGCTCTGAATCTTTTACTTCTTGTCACTAGATATAAAGCGTATGCACCAGCTTTGATGAGCTAAAACATTAAAAAATATTTTATTCTGTGTATGTGTGCTGCTTCAACAATTTCAATATTGTATTAAACATGATATTGAATATAGTCACTACTCACATTTTAGTTTTACAAGAATGTAACTTTTTGGGTTAGTAGTAATTTCGCACGCGATTTTAAAACATCCAGGAGAACAGCCTACTAAAAAAATATTGTTATTGAGAGGTGATGTTTTGCATGTTCGTGCGAAACTACAACTAACCCAACTTCGGTTTAGTGCAAGTTAAACTTTAAACTAGTAGATATTTTTCTTTGTATGAGAATTAAATATGAAGCTTATGAAAGACTACCTTCCAAGTATAGGAATCATTCTATTGCCGAACTAATCTGTCCGCTCTCATATCTTTCCACGTGATAAATCTATGGAACGGCTTCCCACTAGTTCGGGACCAGGTGATGAACGTACTCCGCTGGGTCGAAATACCCATAGCAGACATCTGCCCCGCCGAGAGACTTGCATCTAAACAAAACACAAAGTTGCAACTTGTTGACTATGTATTAATAGAACGATACATGTGCCAAATATCTACATATTAACACCTTAGTGCAGTATCATAAAAATAAACTTGTAAGTAAAAAAAACTTACTAAAATCAACAGTGAAAGAAAAAATTTTTCTTTCCCAAATTATTTGGGAACAGGAAAAAACAATAGAATATCTGATTTGATAAATCGTTCACAGAATCATTATGAATTAGCATATGCTTGATCACCAGTTCAAGGTACAAAGTAGGTTTTAATAAAATAGTAATATTAGAAATAAATAGAGCAATAAATCATTTGAATTAAGTAAGGTGATGTTATGAAAGTATAACAGGTAATTAATTAATGTTGTGACACCAAGAGATAAACTGATATCAGAGTACAAAATTATGATAAGAATATAAACTATGCTACAATGTTAATTAATTAATGGTATATCTACCTACTTAGTTACAACTTTTCATTTCCCTATTAATACTTTGGTGTTTCTGGTTTACGAAATTTTAAAATATTCTTTAAAAAATATTTTTAAAATATTATTACAATAACTTACCTTGCAGGGATTTTTTCACTACACTAACAACTGCAGACCACAATTCGTCAGGATCTATTTCAACAAAACCTGGCTGTGGATAGTGAAGTATCACCTAAAAATAAATCTTTAATTTAGAATACAGTCAGGGAAAAGTTTTAAGGGTGCAAAGTCCCAAAAGTGGTTTAAATTAATTCCATTGAATAGAAGCTTTATGGCAAAGCAGAACTGGGTGAATGAACTTACCTGGTCAGTTGCTTTACCAACTACTTCAGCTCTAGAATTATAAATAAAAGAGCGAATTGTAGTCGTGCCAATATCAAGAGTCAATATATACTTTTCTTCCATAATTCCAAGCTGTGTGTTTACTTTATCAAACGATCTAGGTTAATACTTCACTTATCCATAGAAATTGCATTTATGAGCTTATTTATTTATTTTGATTTGTAATTTTTTGTACACGACAAGTTTTCTTGAGTTATCAAATCATCTGTTATCTGTCTCACACTCTCTACGGAATAAAATAGTGATGTGCTGTGATGATGATCAGATTCAATCGAATCGTTCGTAATCGATTTATAAGTGAATTATTCTGAAACCTAACTCACTTAGACAAGTATGTACTAGCACTTTTTGAACGTTACAAAAATCAAATCCCTTCGTGGAACGAAGTAACTCCATACAAATATACAAAAAAGCCCAAGAGAAGGCCTTTCGAAATAACAACTGTCAAGTTTGGCTACTTGTCTAGGGTTGCCAGGTCCAAAAACACAAAGCTGGACTCTGTGCTTCATTTGGCCGGGCATTTTACCCTAAAAGCCGGACATGTGACGGGGTGCAATTAGTGTCATAACTCACGAGTGAGTACTGTCATCGTATCATCGCGATCGTTTGCCCATAACATCCTGCGAGCGCTTCATATTATTCGGTGGCTCGACTTTCGCCTGGCGCAGCAGGCCAAATAAAAAGCCTAACAAAAGCCGGACAGGCCGGACAAGACAATATTTGGCCGGACAAGACCGTAAAAAGCCAAACATGTCCGGCTAAAGCCGGACGCCTGGCAACCTTATACTTGTCTAAGGGAACTAAAAGTGGATTAATAGGATGAACACAACAATTAATTTAATTTCAAAAGTAAGCTGTTTTTTACTATGATATGATACTACGATATTTTGTAAAAACAAGTTCAATTTGTTGAACCGTCTTATTTTTTAACAATGTTGAAAAACGTTACACAACTTTATTAATATTTATGCTTAAGCCTTAGCTTCTATAGCCTTAAACAAAGCAGCGAGACTGGCAAAGAAAGAAAGAAAGAAAAATATGATTATTTAGTACCAAGTATTAATTTACATTATTAGTTTGGAATTTTGGATTCTTCACATCGTTTATTCACTTGCATTACGATTAATCGCATGCTGACATCACTATGTTTGACATTTACATCATATTTTGACAATTGTTTTGACAGTTGCAAGTGACAGTAGTACTTTTAATCTTTATCATAGACGCAAAGAAAACTGTAACAATTTTAACTATACCAATAACGTTATTGTAAAAATATTTTTACAATAACGTTATTGCTTAGATAAGCATCATCATGACTAGAGATGGGTTTCCACCCGGGTAAAAACCCANTATAACTCCTATGCATTCTGATGTTGCCGCAGGGATGAAGGCTTTGATGTCATGAGAAGACAAGAATGTTGAGTTAAACAGTAACGCATTAGCATTCTTTGCATTATCAAAAATAACAGCATACCGCATTGCATTCACTCGTTTTATTTCTTTGACTCCCTTGTTGTACCGACTAAAAATGCTATTTAGGTAGATAGGGTCCTTGTTTCCAAACTTTACAGTGTCATTTGTGCTTTGTATGTATACAGGAAATATACAACCTGGAGAATTATCAGGATAACAACGTATATGGTTCTTCTTGTAGTATGGTGCATGTATAGACTCATCATCTTGTACTTCATCTACTTTTCTCTTCTTAGTATTATGCTTGGGGTCTTTACCCCCACTGTCAGAACTCATCTCGCCACTATAGCCGCTAATTTACTGTTAGATTAACTATTTAATTAAATTTTATTAAACTCGCAAAGAAAAAGTTGAACCTCCCGCCTCGAGAGCTTCCCGCCAAAAAAAAAAACAGACAGCCAGGCAGGCAATCAAATGACATTTGGCTGTCGATGCTGCCAGCTATAAAAAATTTTAAAACGTCCATAGACAATAATTAATACTTTTGTTTTTTTTTTTATTAAGGAAATATTAAATTTAGTCCTAAAAATTGATTTTATATTTATATTATCCATAATGAAATCTAGATATATCTCATTATTTAAATTTCATTAAATTGTGTAAAAATAAGCATAGTAAATTTCAATTAATTTTGGTGAAGTAATAAAAACACTCACACATTGACATTTCAGACAATGAACTGTGGTGTACTGTGTGTGAACAAGCGACATTTTGTTATTTTTTGTATTGCCATCCCAGACACGATCAATACTATTTGTTTCACATCATAGGTACATAGTATTTCGCGGGTGTCGTGGCTGAAAAGCGTTTGTGGTGCGACTAAAATTATTAATTTGGGCACATTGGTTTCCTATGTTTGAAATCGAGCGTATACGTGGGCAATTTGAGCGTCGGGTTTTCAGTACTTTGATCATTGTGTGTAGGTACGCGTAGAAAGAAGGACTGAAAGTGTACAGTTAGCCGTGAATAGGGCGTCGGCGTGTCGGAAGACGCGGGTGGAGTTTCAGGCAGAGATGGCGATGCCTGAGCAGTTTTCGCTGCGATGGAACGACTTCCACTCAAACTTGTCGCAGTCTTTTCAAGCGTTGCTGGAAGGCGAAGACCTAGTAGACGTGACGCTGGCTGCGGGTGGGCAGTACGTGCACGCACATAAACTCATCCTCTCAGTATGCAGCCCATATTTTAAGGAACTTTTTAAGGTATGACTCATTGTTCTTGTATTTTCCTCATCTTGGCTTGTGTAATTTATTTAAATAGACTACCCTCATTACACTTAAATAAAAATGATCTCAGTAAAAGCTAACTTAATTTTCAGTGTAGATACCTTGTGCTTTTATAAATTTTACAAATCGGGTTTGATGTAAGTTATCAGTGGTATGAAAGAAATGCACTTTTTATTGCACAATAAAATTAATTGTACATCTAATTACTTAGTACACTACTACCTATCTAATACTACAAATTAATGGGCTACATGAAGATACTTAGATGCACAAAACAAATCAAATTTGTAGTGGACTCAGAATGTTACAGATAATGTTGTTTATTTACATAAGACATTAAGATAATTTTTGATAATGTTTACCAAACAACGCTCCAAATGAACGCTGAAATGGCCAATGTACCAAGGGCACAAAATATTTTGTTTGCTCAATGTATTGATGTATTGATATGAGTGCTATTTGTTCGTGTAAATTAATTTCTATTGTAACAAACTAATATTTTTTTTTTTTTAATTTATTAAATCCTTATGCAACAAAAATTGATTTTGGAACTTTCATAATAAAAACCTAATCAGTTGCAGTTTATATTTTCTCTGAAAAATAACTAATGTATAAATTGTGGTCATCACAAACATTTCAATGACATAATCATCCAGGCTTACTTCATTATCACAAATAGACACAAAATTAATGATATTCTAATAAATTCCTGTTATTGTAAAATTTTCAAAACTAAGAACTTGTATTAGTTGTGTCATTAAAAATTACCACTACAGATAATTAACTAATTGTTATGTGATTGAAATGGTCATGAGAGTAACCTGAAACATTTAGCTAATTAATGTTAAAACATTTCTATTCAGCATAATGTAAGTTATTACTCATGAATGTCAAAAGTAACACAGGATGCCATGTTTTCATGCTTATATTGCCAAACCTGTTATTCACACTCATCAAATCTTTGTGGGTAATAATACCATATGCATATTAATGCAAATCTTGATTCCAAGAGGTTTTAGCTGAAACACTGTTTATTAGATTATTGTTAAAAGTGGCTAATCAATCCAATGTATTTGTTAACAGATGAACCCCTGTGAACATCCTATCGTGATCCTGAAAGATGTGGCTCATCAAGAACTCCGACAGCTCCTTCAATTCATGTACAGAGGCGAAGTTCACGTTCGTCAACAGGAGCTCTCGGGGTTCCTGCACAGCGCTGAGCTGCTGCAGGTCAAAGGCCTCACCGGGGGTCGTGAGGTGAGACATCAAACCCAGAAATATGCATCAGATAACAACTGGAGAATTCCTTTCTTATTTGGAACATATTTTCCTTCATTTTGTTATAAGTTACTGGAGAATTCATTGATGGCCTGAAGAAAAATGCATAATGTAAGGAATCTGTGAATCTATTTTTGTTTATGTAGCCTATGTACTAGTCTTAGGTTGCATAACGGTAATTCCTTGTGTAATGACCTCATTACCAGGTCAGGTACCTACCTGACCATCATCTGACACTACCTCACCCCAAGCAGCGTATCTTATCTGAACTGGAGGTATGTCAGTGAGTTTGTTAGGTAATTAAAATAGTGTTTATTGTGACTATTTACAAGATAAATCAATGTTATTCAGTCAGAGCCCTGTATTATTGAGTCACTATCTTTTCATTAATTACATTTTATTAAGTAATTTCTTCGATGACTTAGTTGTCAAGGCAATACTTTTTATATTTATACTGAGCAGCTGATCTCGTTCAAGGAATTCGTGATTCTGGCTTCAATATTTTTTTCATAATAGAACTGTTTTGCATTACAACAAAACAGTTATTATGTGTAGAATAAAACACAGCGTTCTGTTGAGAGAGAGCTGTCTATGATCTTTGCCTTATTTTAGTCTATGGTATAAGAAAACTTACCAATTGTCTCTGCTTTATCATCTAGTTTACCTTCTTCATACACCAGCTGGCACCACTTTCTATGGAAATTGGTGATCTGTCAACTTGACATTTCATAGTCGTCCAACACCAGCAAGCACTTGCTGGAACGCTGTGTTTTATTCTACACATAATAACTGTTTTGTTGTAATGCAAAACAGTTCTATTATGTGCCTTAATAAAACACAGCGTTCTGTTGAGACCTGTTTGTTATCTGCTGGTGTCAAGCACAAACGCTATGTGATATAAAATGTATTAAGAATGAAAGAATATGAAGAAGTTTAATATCACAATACAANTCCCCGTCAAGGTCGTCCAAAAACTGCAGTCACCCAAGAAAACGATGATGCTGTGCGTAAGCTGATTGAAGAAGATCGACATGTGACATACCGCGAAATTCAGGCAACTTTAGACATTGGCATGAGTCAAATACAAATAATCCTGCGTGAACAATTAGGTGTAAAAAACTTGTTTTCCCGATGGATACCGCATTCGCTCTGTAAAGAGCAAAAAACGGCTCGCGTTACTTGGTGCGTCAGAACTCTCGAAAGATTACATGCAGGATCCTCAAATGTCTGTATATAACATCGTATCAGGTGACGAATCCTGGATATACGCGTACGAACCCGAAACAAAAAACCAGTCACGAGTTTGGGTGTTCGAAAATGAGTTAAAGCCAACAAAAATTGTTCGTTCACGGAGTGTTGCAAAAAAAATGGTGGCCACGTTTGTCTCCAAAACCGGCCATGTTGCGACTATTCCTCTTGGGGGACAAAGAACGGTTAATGCAGAATGGTATGCTAGCATTTGTTTGCCACAGGTCGTTTCTGAACTCCGTAAAGAGAACTGCAACCGCCGCATCATCCTCCATCATGACAATGCGAGTTCTCACACCGCGCACAGAACAAAAGAGTTTTTAGAGCAAGAAAACATAGAATTATTAGACCATCCGCCATACAGCCCCAACCTAAGCCCTAATGATTTCTATACTTTCCCTAAAATAAAGAATAAATTGCGTGGTCAGAGATTTTCATCACTTGAAGAAGCTGTGGACGCCTACAAAACGGCCATTTTGGAGACCCAAACTTCCGAATGGAATGGTTGCTTCAATGATTGGTTTCGTGTATGGAAAAATGTGTCAAATTTCGCGGAGAATAGTTAAAAACGCAATAAATACATTTTTAAATGGTAATGTTGTTTCACTTCCTTGATTCCCGAAATTTTCAGTGCCGCCCTCGTATGATTAACATACCATTAAACAATTAACTATTAATAAAATGCTTGTAAAATTATAAACTCATAAATACAAGATGTTATTGTTCCTTCGTAGGTCTCTGCAGTAATATTTCATAAAGGTATACATACCTACACCTCCAATTAAATATTGGGGTTCTTATCAACTACTTTCTTGTCCAGCCAGTATCTGGATGTTACTGCAGACCAAACACTTCTTGGAGAAGCAAATATTCACTGCACTTTTTGGAGAAGTAATTATAAAAATTATCTTAATCCAATTTGTAATATTTGACCTGGAAAACAGGCGTTACCATATTGTTTATGGAAATAAACAAATTTCACACATAACTCTGGGGTCTCCATTAAAATGAAGTCTTTATCAGCTCACTAATATGAAACTACAGGACATAATTATGCGTTCATCTGGGTGCTTAGCAGTCAGAGACAGTCTGTAGGTGGTTGAATCAGATTCAGATCCAAATATCAGCCAAAATGCTGACGTCATGTATAGACATCGATATACACGTAATCGGTAGACACGTATAGCGGGGAGGTTCTGGGCCCCCCCGAAAAACAACCCTAGATACGCCAATGTCACAATGTGATCATATTCTGATACTTCAAAAAAGTAATCCTGTAATGTGTCCAAAGGAATGAGATCATGGATTCTTCGATCTGAAGCAAGAAGAAAAATGAGAGCTGTTTATCAAGTAAAATTCAATGCTAGAAAAAAGTCCAGCAGCCGGCAACCAGTCAATTTAATTCCAGTAATTTAATATTAAAGACCGGTGATCTCGGTGTACTTGGCCTTGCAAGTGAAATGGCCTTAAGGAACTGATGTACAAAAGGTAAAGGTAGATACAACTTTGTCGGCCGTTTGGTGTAGTGGTTCAGAACGGACTACAATGCCGAGAGGTCCCGGGTTCGATTCCCGGCCGGGCAGAAATTGAAATGATGAATTTTAATTTCTGTGACGGGTCTGGGTGTGACTATGTATAATATGTATGTATTTAAAAAAAAAAGTATATAAGTAGTATATCCGTTAAGCTAGCACCCATAACACAAGCATTAAGTTGCTTACTTTGGGGCTAGCTGGCGCTGTGTGAAATTGTCCAAAGATTTATTATTTATTATTAAAACTGACCTAAATATCAGTTTTGTACTACAAGTTTTTGCTGTAAAAACAGCTTGGCTAACAGCAGCGCTATAGTAACGGCGTNACTTCACTTTACGATAACGAAGTAACTGAAATCGTTCTTTAGAGGAACTGAATACTACTTTGCAAGCTATTACCATCTAGTAGGCTTGATGTAGAAGGTAAGTGGTGCGCAACAAAGTTGGAAATAACATTCATCTGAGTCGTCAAAGTTTCGACCGAGTGTCTTACGAGTGGGGTTAACACTTACATGGCCTCCGTCGCCTATTTGGAGGTGGTGAAGCAAACATTTCCATTTCCGAGGATGATGAGGATGAATCTGAAAAAGACGACTCGGATTTCGAGCTTTTCCTTCATCCGGGCCGACAGAAGTCAACCTTTCACCGTCACCACTCTTTACCCTTACACTCTGCATCACTTATATTTCCTATTTGCACATTTTAACTGTGTTTTATTCTTATTTTATACTTAAAACAAGAAGATAAAAATTTTTGCTGTGTAGGCGGCAAAAATCACAAACGCTATGAAATGTCAAGTTGACAGATCACCAATTTCCATAGAAAGTGGTGCCAGCTGGTGTATGAAGAAGGTAAACTAGATGATAAAGCAGAGACAATTGGTAAGTTTTCTTATACCATAGACTAAAATAAGGCAAAGATCATAGACAGCTCTCTCTCAACAGAACGCTGTGTTTTATTAAGGCACATAATGAAGAAATTTGGTCTGTATGACTGTCACCTTATGGAAAGTGGTGATCAGTAACTGTCTTATTGTGCAATGAGTGTTACTTTTATTTTACGTTTATTTAAAGCGGAGTGAGTCACCGCCGCCTGTCCGCCCGCCCACCGAGGAGCCCCCGCGCCCGCAGCCCCCGCCCGCGCCAGAGCCCCAAGCCGAAGCGCCCCCCGAGTGGGTGCCTGGCGGTGAAGACACCATCGCCACTGAACAGCAAGCCGAGCCGAACAATGCCAACCTCAAAGACGATGCTACTCGAAGCCCACTGAAACGGTAAGACGTTATACTCGAATCTAGGTACCAGCACCACAACCTCGGCGCCATTATTCGTCGTACGTTACTAACAGTTATTTTGTGCCAATTCACATAATTTTCCACACACTCGCTCTTTGATTGGTTCCATACTTGGAATTGTAGTTGTAAGCCACCAGTCTGTAACTCGCTAAGTTAGATCTAAGAGGTCTTACGCACTATTAATTTAACGTAACATCTTGTTGACACGCCGTCAGTACTCTTGGAGGTGCGCTACGTAATGTATTAGTCATGAATGCATCACGGCAACGTAGGTTAAGTAAAACCATGATGCGTTAGTTTGCTTAGTGTCATACTGCGATGCTGCGTTGCTCGTCCTTACAGATGTACCTGCATAATATCAATATAATGCAATAATGTTCATAAATTACAGGCGAGATAGAAATACATTGCGCCACAATCGACATTTCACATTATATCTTATAGTTTTAGAGTTGATTGTGAATTGAAATAAGTAAGGATGTTTGTTAGTGAGTGTATTTGACTCATTTGTCTGCGTGGACGAAGTCGACCTGTAAATCTGGGTTCATATCTTTAGTCACTGGCCTGATTCTGTTTTCATAATAACAATATTATTCACTTGATTTCGGCCCGAGCATAACGTTTATATTGACATTATACGTATAAAAAGAGTCGCTCTATAAACTGACGTTTTGGGGCCGTTGAATGTGTTAGAGAAAAATGTTACAGTGAAGAATGCAATATTTTATGCCTGGAGTCATAGGAAGTTCATAAATACGAGTATTCACATGTACAGGATTTTTCATTAAGAGCGCGAACAAAAGTTCGAAGTTTGCTAGTAAATAAAACAAAATAAATAAATGTTCCACTGTAGGCGATATACCCTAAAAGACCAATTTCGAACAAAATCATAGCATAAGGCCTGGTTTCCTGGTGTCTGTCATTTGTATGAAAGAGTTTTCACGTAGTCGCCACCACACAGATGATGAAGCCCTTGAACTTCTCATCCAATAAATTTAATTCTGCCCGTGCAGTATGTCTGCAGTGGTGGGAATGGTTGGGGGGAATGATTTGCTCAGTTCACGCCTTATGCATGCTCAATTTGTTTTTTTATGACTTAACTTTTGCCACACTTCTTAGGGTTCCGATTTCGCCGACAAACGTTAACAACTCAATTGCTAAAGTATCGCCCGTTTGTTTGATTGACGCGCGCCTCATTGTTCAATTAGTTCGTTCACTAGCTAACGCCTTCGACTCCGTTTGCGTAAAGTTTAAAGACTTCCATTAGATTAAATTCCAATAATCATACCAATTTATTTTGAAAAAATATGTTCGCTCAGTTTTATCAAAATCCGTTCGGTGGCTCTTGCACGAATGACTAACAAACATCTGATAATGATCCTCTCGATTTTTCGTGTTTAATAATTCCAAGCCACAAATTGTTTAAGAAAAAAGTCATTGGTTTTCAACCTGTCTTCACAGCATATAGTTCAAATTGATGTGGGTTAAAACACAGTAAGGTTTAAAACACACTTCGATCTAAAATAATTGATCGTAATCTCGAAAATTTAGTTGATTTTCAGTTTGCCGTATAATTCGAAAAAAAAAGTTAATCAAGCATAAGATACATAAGTTCTAAAACGTCAGGTGGCAAAAATTGATAATAACCCAGTGAAGTGGTATCAAGCAGTACCCGATTTTTGTAATATACAGCTAGCCAATCTGCAAGTTCTGATCTGACTTTATTTTCTGTTTTCTTAGCTTGTTGAAGAATACTCCTCAGAAGAACAGCTTCAACACGAAGAAGAAGCCTCGCGCCACCAACGACAGTCCCACGCACCCGGAGAACACAGACTATGCTTACGACGGGTAAGTTCCGAATATTATTACGAACAACAATACTGTAAATTTTCATCAATTTTTATTCCATAGTTTCTGAAAAAGTGTATTGTTACTCTACTAAATAAATACAGATACACACATCCAAGCAAACTTTCACGTTTATAATATTAGTAGGATTGTAATGTCTATATCAGGGGTGACCAACTTAATTTAAGATCTACCCTTACTCATAAAAAAAAGCAATCTAAAGCAGTGTTCATGGTACATCTACATAGGACACGGTCTAGGATAACGAAATTTTTTGGAGGTATATTAGTATATTAGGAGGTAATATTAGTCTAGTATCTTTATTAGTCTTATTACCTATACTTTCTTACTAAAAATAAGTTTAAAAGATAATCTTATTTTTCCGAGGCACACCATCTAATGACCACACTGGTGTACCGCGCACACCCTTTGGTGTTCACCCAACACTGATCTAAAGTAAAAGTTCCATACAAACGCCACAGTAACTTTTATTAGTAAGGGGGTTACTGTTTACCGATGAAACTTACTAAATACGTAAGTTCTTCTTAAAATAACATAAGATAAACAACGTGATTTTGTCGACATTTAGTAATCACACAAAATGATAAGCGTTTGGCGTTACGCAGTCTGTTGTAGGTACATCTTTTCCTTTCACGATCGACTAGTAGACCAATAGCCTCTATTAACTGGTTGATCGTGATTGATTTGCCATCCCTGGTTTATTATTATTTCAGAAGTGTATTTTTGAAAGGTAAAAAATTCAGCATTCAGGTAAAAAAATAAGTTATTGTTTCATTTAGTGTCCCTCAAAACAGTACCAAAATATTAAAACACTGCATCCGATCCGACGAATTATTATTTTACTAATTCACAAACTGTAAAAATAATTGTTGTTATTGGGGAGCTACTTAATTATTTATTTCTCATTAATGTTTTATTTGCTCATAACATTTTGTTTAATTATTTTTCTTTGCTGTCTTGTGTTTGAGTTTATTTTATTTTTGGTTTGTGTAAACCTTTACAGCGAACCTCTAATTGACTTCGACAACGAACTCTTTCATACTGTGATGGTATTGCCTGAATCTGCTAAAGAATCTGGTAAGTAATTAATTATATTCACTATTTTAAAATATTATGAGTCCCTATTTGCTGTTTCATTTTCAATATTTTTTTAATATTATGCACTGAATTTATTTTTCCTTAAATACATATGCTTAAAGGGGGTGCAGCGCAAACGAAACGGTACAATTTCCGACCAATACGTGTGGTGGCGCCACAACGATAACCACCTGCCACCAAAAGACAATTAAAGAGGAAATATAAAAAAAGAAAAATCAATCAGAAGAAAAGGGCCAAACCGCTACCCAAATCCAAGCGTGTGGTGGCGAAACCACGTAAAACTCATAAAAAGAATCCGCAGAAACGTTGCAATTTAAGATGGCGTGGGGTGTGGCCGCCTAAACCTACCACCACTCTCAAGAAAAAGGAACGCTGTAATGTGTGTAAAAATGTGTGTATTTGCCCACTTCTACCAAATTTATAACACACGTCATTTGACACTTATTTTTCGATAAATCAAACTGCCTTATGATACATAAAATATCATTACGGCATGGTTTATCTTTAAAAAAACTGGAATTCCTAATATCCATACATTTGCGACGAAAATTAAGAAGGAGGCCTTCGCTATAATAATACAAACATTTTCATGTGAGAACTTCTTCATACGCACAATTTAGAAAGTTTTCGAAGAAAAAACATTGTTTAGAAAAAAAGGCGTCCTTGTGCAAGGATTGGGCTACCTTACACAAGTTCCTTTATTTAAAACAGTCAGCTCAAAACACAATTGGTTTAAAAATTTACTTGTGAATTTCGTGCAGTACCCTCTTAATTCAATCATCAGCACTTTCTTCTTTCTTATTCCCAGCACTGCGAAGTATTATTTTTATTTTGTGCACTTTTGTTTTATTATCCCTGCTTTATACCATCTGCTAGTGTGAGCACCTTCTTTAAGTTACAAACATTGTCAGGTTGGAACATGAAGACAGGAGGTGTGAAGTGTCCTTCGTGCCATCGGTTCTTCGCCAATCGTTACAACCTGAAGGTGCACATTAGAGACAAGCACGACACACGAGAAGGCACCCTCCAGTGCGACATTTGCCACAAGCGTATGCGGAATCCTTCGTGCTTGCGCGTTCATATGTACCACCACCGCAAGCAGGCAGCATACCTGGCCCAGTTCAGAGGACAAGGAGACGAGATGAAACATGTGTACGTATTAATTAATTTTAAGGTCGATCGCATCTTCGTGCATAATGGTGGCGGATGGGGTGGTGAGTTGGTGTTTATTTTTTATTTATTTTATGCTGCTTCTATGGTCCTTTTATTTATCTTTTATTCCCTCGGGCTACTCACTATCGTTGTTAATTTGTATAAGAATACTTTTATAATTTGATTATTTATTTCTTAATGGTCATTGGTTAGTATTAACGGTGAACTGAAGACATAAACTAACATTGTTAGGGGATTAAGCTAGATTGTGTTTTTCGGATATTGTAGGCCGCAAAACTTGACGACATGGCGCTCCCAGGGATTGTTGGGCTACTTCAGTTATAGGGAAGCTTTTAAGAAGTAAGTACTTAATTTGCATGAGGCATGACGTTTCCTCCATTATAAGCTTACTAAAATACTGCCTAGCCTTTACATAGTATAATTCTAGGCACATAATTATCTGGTTCATTATCATTTTCACGCCACGCCATATTACTGCTAATTAGGAACTCCTAATACAAAATAAAGTCGGAGCAAACTTCCTCCGACTTTATTTTGTGGTTAAAGAATTGATCTAACTGAATATAGCCAAAGTTGCTACTTGAATCATAGTACAAGTCGCAATATTAGTGTCATTGAGAATTTTTTAAAAAGTAAGAGAATCTCATGAAATTAAGAAATAAAAAATGCCCTAAATTGATTTTCTTCAAAAAATTACTCAACTTTATTGTTAACGTGCTCTTTAACTTAGCAATAGTTTGGTAAAGAAACCTAAATGATTGACTTTATAAGCTCCGAGTATTATTTAATACGCAAAATGACATTAAGATTTATCATTTGTCTTAATAAACTATACCCACTTGTAACACAAGCATATTTAGCTTACTACGAGGGGTTAACGGGATTATAGTAATTTGTATTAAAAATTGCTAAAATTCTTTAAAAAAAAATCATCGTTTTGTTTTGACTAGATAAACGCGCCTAGAGCACAGAATAAGTTAGATGTATTTCTTACAGGAATCTTTGCATATTACATAACATGTTCCTAGTCTGTAGTCAATTTATAGACCAGTAGAATTAAACACAAAAATGAATCAAATCGGAAATAATCATAATCATAATCATAATCATTTATTCATTCATAAACATGGGTATTACAGGATGTCACATACAAAATATTCTTAGGTACAGCCATGATTCACCTTTATGGTATATGAATACAAAATTGTCAGTTTGAATATTATACAAATTACTTACAGGAAAAAAAAAACAATGTATACAGTTATTTTTACATCTTGTCATCAAAGAATGTTCTAATGTCATAGTATACCTTTTCAGTGAGGAAGCCATTGAGCGCAATTTTAAACCTTTTAATATCATTAATTGACCTGATATACAATGGGATTTTATTATAAATTTTTGGTGCCATGCAGNTTTGATAGGTGAAGTACATTTTCAGTCTAGGATTAAACTAGCCTTAGACCCGGTCTCCACCAAGGCGGAGCGGAGCGGAGAAATGTTTAGAATAATCAATCAGATTTCATTCTGTCAATTTCATTCAATCTGAATAACATCTGATAGGTTGTTCAAAACAATTCTTCGCTCCGCTCTGCCTTGGTTTAAACCGGGACTTAATAAAGCCATTCTTATGAAATGTAGCGTGTGCATGAGCATTGTTAATCCTAAACTGTTAGGCCCAGAACAGACGGTGAAACGCAACTGCAACGAAACTGCAACTTTCTGATGATTCTTATAAATGAAACTGAAACAGAAAGTTTCAAACTGGTCGCATCATGTGTGGTCTCTCAACGAACGCAATGGCAGAAACTTAAATGCAACTCAAAAGTAACTAGCAGTTGCAGTTTCGTTGCAGTTGCGTTTCACCGTCTGTTCTGGGCCTTAGTCCCAAATGAAAAACAAAAAACGTGAAAGTATCAAACTACTCACTGATCGGCATCCCTGTAATCAATGTTTCCGATGGCTCCCTCGGTACGCCACTTGGCCATATTCGCCACTCTGTAATTTAATTACAAAAATGTTAGTTTAAAACCTTTAACAACCAAATTCCTAAAACTAACAATCACTCCCGGCGCCACATTAATTAAGATTTCAAACCACGTGGAAACTCGGCGATGCATCGAGTATATGAGCACATCTTAATTAGCAATAATATTATGTACTTTCTTTCTTCTAAACCGCTTTCAGGCACGTAGGTAGTAAATCCACACAACTACTTCGAACATGGTTCAGTAGTTGGTACTTGTTTTGGGTACCGAGTAGATAATCGTACAGAACAAACCGGCTTTTAAGAGAATAAAAGTACATACCCATAGCGAATGTTGCTTTCAGCACAGTCGATGCCCATTTTTAACGATTTCAATCAGTTACTGATCAAAGAGACAATATATCCCGAACTGCTGACAGTTAGCGTCCAGCGGCAGCGAACACAACGCGAATAATACGGAGATGCGTAGTCATCCCGGCTCAGACTCCCCCCGCCCCTGGTATCGATTGCGGCTCGTGCCTAGGGCGTTGCTAGGTAACCTAACGTGAGGGATGAAGGGGAACGGGGCGGGGGCACCGGCGAGACGAAATCTCTACGGTTTTTTTACGTCGGGGCAGCATCGCTAACAAGAGGGGTCGTCTTGTCTAGGACATTTGTAGGACATCCGAGGACGCCCGAAGCTACCTCATCCCCCGAGCGTTAACCTGCAGGTAGCGCAGACATAATAACGTCTGCGAACTTTTAAGAAGCAGTTTCTCTGTACGTTATGAACTCGACTATGATATCTAATAAAAGACAATGCCGAAAATTGGCGTCTTTTTTTTTCGTGCGGCCATCGACCAAACTTTGTTTTTTTATTACAAAATAGTGTAATAAACCAAACTTACTATGACATGTATACCTCTAAACTCAGTCTGAACTGAGTTACGAGCATTAGAAGTTTGATGATTTTCATACAAGATTTGCTTTTTGTGCGCAAGTTTTGTAAGAAATTGCAACAAAATATTGCGCTATTTTTTATTGCGCTGATTCTGCTCCATACTGATGTCTGGAGCCTTTAATGGATGGTATTGTTTGTTTACACATACAATCTCACTATTTTGTTGCAATTTCTTACAAAACTTTGCGCGCAAAAAGCAAATCTAGTACGAAAATCATCAAACTTCTAATGCTCGTAACTCAGTTCAGACTGAGTTTAGAGGTATACATGTCATAGTAAGTTTGGTTTATTACACTATTTTGTAATAAAAAAACAAAGTTTGGTCGATGGCCGCACGAAAAAAAAAGACGCCAATTTTCGGCATTGTCTTTTATTAGATATCATAGTCGAGTTCATAACGTACAGAGAAACTGCTTCTTAAAAGTTCGCAGACGTTATTATGTCTGCGCTACCTGCAGGTTAACGCTCGGGGGATGAGGTAGCTTCGGGCGTCCTCGGATGTCCTACAAATGTCCTAGACAAGACGACCCCTCTTGTTAGCGATGCTGCCCCGACGTAAAAAAACCGTAGAGATTTCGTCTCGCCGGTGCCCCCGCCCCGTTCCCCTTCATCCCTCACGTTAGGTTACCTAGCAACGCCCTAGGCACGAGCCGCAATCGATACCAGGGGCGGGGGGAGTCTGAGCCGGGATGACTACGCATCTCCGTATTATTCGCGTTGTGTTCGCTGCCGCTGGACGCTAACTGTCAGCAGTTCGGGATATATTGTCTCTTTGATCAGTAACTGATTGAAATCGTTAAAAATGGGCATCGACTGTGCTGAAAGCAACATTCGCTATGGGTATGTACTTTTATTCTCTTAAAAGCCGGTTTGTTCTGTACGATTATCTACTCGGTACCCAAAACAAGTACCAACTACTGAACCATGTTCGAAGTAGTTGTGTGGATTTACTACCTACGTGCCTGAAAGCGGTTTAGAAGAAAGAAAGTACATAATATTATTGCTAATTAAGATGTGCTCATATACTCGATGCATCGCCGAGTTTCCACGTGGTTTGAAATCTTAATTAATGTGGCGCCGGGAGTGATTGTTAGTTTTAGGAATTTGGTTGTTAAAGGTTTTAAACTAACATTTTTGTAATTAAATTACAGAGTGGCGAATATGGCCAAGTGGCGTACCGAGGGAGCCATCGGAAACATTGATTACAGGGATGCCGATCAGTGAGTAGTTTGATACTTTCACGTTTTTTGTTTTTCATTTGGGACTAAGGCCCAGAACAGACGGTGAAACGCAACTGCAACGAAACTGCAACTGCTAGTTACTTTTGAGTTGCATTTAAGTTTCTGCCATTGCGTTCGTTGAGAGACCACACATGATGCGACCAGTTTGAAACTTTCTGTTTCAGTTTCATTTATAAGAATCATCAGAAAGTTGCAGTTTCGTTGCAGTTGCGTTTCACCGTCTGTTCTGGGCCTAACAGTTTAGGATTAACAATGCTCATGCACACGCTACATTTCATAAGAATGGCTTTATTAAGTCCCGGTTTAAACCAAGGCAGAGCGGAGCGAAGAATTGTTTTGAACAACCTATCAGATGTTATTCAGATTGAATGAAATTGACAGAATGAAATCTGATTGATTATTCTAAACATTTCTCCGCTCCGCTCCGCCTTGGTGGAGACCGGGTCTAAGGCTAGTTTAATCCTAGACTGAAAATGTACTTCACCTATCAAAACCATTTTTCTTTTACCATAAATCTGTATCCATAATGATTTCACTATAGAAAATTTTATTTTATTCGTGGTTTTGGTTGTCTAACGATTGCATTTCTTTGATTTAAGTTTCAACGCTTTATTGAACAAATTAGAAGTTATTTATTGTTTTTAAGTTTGGCTGTAAGACCCGGGTTCAACAACAAAATTATTTGTCTATTTGACACTCATAACTAACTAACTAACTACTGATGACAATCATAAATCATACGATTGTTTAAAAATAATCGTCAGTTGCTGAGCTCGGCCTTAAGAGGATTGAAAATTTAAGTTCGCACTTTACATAAAATTCACTTTTTTGTTGTTATTTTAAGCATTTTGCATGCCAAGCGAATTAGTTCATATAGCTAGTTAATTAATAGTATATTTATTCAAAATATTTTTGTCTATCAGCTATGTATTCATGTCTAATAAAGTTTCACAAAACAATCGACATATCAAAAAATTCCTGCTGGTCGTAAAGAATATTAAACATGAATAAATTCACATATAGAATACAGCTGTGTTTTTGCCTGGGAAATTAATGTTCATTGTGAAGTTTATTTCTATCCTTGCATGCGTACTATGCTACAGTCTACATTGAAAATAGTAGTTTTCACGAAACACCTTTTTACAAGCTTTATTTGTTTCGTTTATTAATAGAAAGTTACACTTTTAAACATTAGCTTGTTTTTCAAAGCGAAATCTGTGCCAACGCCATCGCGAAAGTGAGAGTGATTGCGCACTACATCCGATCCGAATACGAGAAAGTCGGGCCGAATTTTTCACGAATTAAAATCGGATGCAGTGCGTTATCGTTTAAACAAGCAATACTTCTGCTGCCTTCGACTTTTCTCTAGGAGCAGTGTGCAATGCTCTTTTGACGTGTGTGATTTTAAAGGTTGATCACAAGTCGTGGTTTCAGCATCCCTGCCGTGCCGGCCGCCGAGACTTCGAACAAGCCCTCCCAAGACGAGCCGACCTCCCACGCCCAGGGAGTGCCCAAGACGGAGGCCGACTCGGAGGCCGCATGATTAAGATCGAGTATCGTGTGCGCTTCCCGGCGTGACGATATCGCAACCCCAGCACAACTCTACATGATGTTTACGCAACAGGTCTACTGGCGTAATGGTGTTTTCATGACCACCTACAACAACTTTGTACATCAGTGACTCGTCTATCATATTTATCACACGGGCCTGATATTCCATATTTAATCTGTAGTGACGTAGATTCTCGGGCAAAGCCCGCTCGATATTTAACCACTTAGAAGTATTGATATGTTCTTTGTACGTACGTATATACGTGCACATGTACCATTCGTAGTATACATAGTGTAGTTGTTTGAAAATTGTGAGCTGAGCTGTCAAAGTTTTCGTCAGTATTGTCACGGTGCTCTTGGAAAGATTTTAGAATATAATTTTTGAGAACGTGCGGTTTTGAAGCGCCGGGTAGCGCCCGTTATTGTTAAGAAAGGTGGGGGAACAATTGGTAATATAATATCTTAAAATTAATGAGATTATCGGGACTCATATCCGAAAGTTAGCGTAGTACTAATAATGTTTGTAATAAAATAGGCACTACAAAATAAATGATCCAAAGACTGAAGCATCCGTAGAGACGTATATAAGTAATAACATTTAAAACGTTTGCAATAAAATTTTTACCTAGTGTGTTTATGGTAAACGCAAAGCAGGGTGTGACTTTGGCAGGATTAATACGATTTTTGTACTTACACACACTTCTTTTGTACGCCACCATTAAACTATCGCTAATTTTAGGTAATATTCTCACGCCATATCTGTATACTGCCTACAAAAATAATTACATAAGATTGATATTAACTTTAACATTTCCATCGTAGATCTTTGTTTTGTACAAATTTGAGTTCACACCCGTCGCTCACAAATCATTTAACTTAAGAGCGTAAGATACGACACTTGTGCCGCCTCTAATTAATCTGAAAGCTACAATAGGCCCTATTGGGCATAAAGCTTCGCGACGCATTACGATTTAATTTTGTTCGAACATAGCAATAGTTTGGTATAGAGCATTTAAAGTTGTACCCTGTAGTATTGCCAGATAAAAGTATTATTAAATAAAAGTTTACAAAAAGGACTGATTTAAAATCAAGTGTACAACTCGCAGATGGTTTGGTCTTGTAAAGAGCGAGCGTGGTTGGTGTCACTTCGTTCTGGATACCACTGGAGCGGAGGATATTAGCTCTCGCTATTTGCAATTTATAATAATAACTACCGACCAAGACGCAAGACTGGGTTCACAGGGCTTAAGTCTAATCGTATTGAGCAGTTGCCCGTTCGTTACGTTGAAACATAAAACCGTTCACACGACGTTTGTAATGTAATAACAACCACTTGTGAATGGTTTTGTGAACGTACGAACCACACTCTTTCCATGGAACTCATGCTACTAAAACCATGCTTTAGTGCCACGTGAATCTAGTTTAAAGACCAGCGTATTTTTGAGAAATAATTAAAAGATTGGCTCTCTGAAAATTCTCTTGTCTTTACATCTTGGCCGTTGCGTACACGCTATAAGTATTAGTGTCGTCTCGATGTGATTTTGTGATTACGTATAATTATAATCGTCATATGTCGCGCAGCTTTTATTAGGTTCAATACAATATTAGAAAGTACAACTTATTGTTATTTAGGCAGCTAGATCGAACACGAGGTAGTTATTACTTTTAATGTTGCCATTCATAAATGAGGTGTAATGAAATTGGTTACAATTTCGTTTGAGCCAAAATTTGACACGCGTTGAGCTCGACGCACCATCGACAAACATAACCTTACAGTACAAAATACGATATTTGTGTATAATAATCATATGAATATATGCTTTACTTAGATTTTAAGTTTTTTACGTTAATGTAAGGTCATTTTTTAATTAAGAACAGAACAATTTTTATACGTACAATATTAGTTCAGTAGCGATATATATATTTTTACATAATTTAATTCATGATGATATTTATCATTATACAAGGGTTGTTTAGGTTTGTTAAGAAAATTATTTACCTCATCGTTCGAAATGACTGTTTTTGTAAGATTTTGTCTTTGGTTCAACGTATTGTTTTTAAACATGGTATATTTAGTTTGTCATAATAAATAAAAACAAAGACGGTATTCTGATAAGACAACAAATAAATTACAACAAGGCACTATGATATATATAAGAGTATTTCTCAAAAAAAATGTACGTAACGAAACGGTAGTAACGAAATAGTAAGGCCATAAGGCTTGTTATACATTGGCGAAATATTGTGAATGCTCTTCATTTATTCAATTCGAAATATTTGTAAGTATGCANATGGCGGAGACGTCAGGCCAACAGCCATTCAGAGTGCAGCTATTGTTGTCCGTGTAAAATAAATACGGAATTGTTCAGAAACCATGGGAAAGTAGAAATAAATCGTAACTAAAGAGTAAATAACGAAATAGTAAATGAGAGCGACTCATTTTGTTTTTTTGCTTTAAATTGCCAATTCATTATGACACCCCATAGAAAATCAATTTGATACAGAAACTGCGATTACTGTAGAACGATAATACAAAGAAATTTACAATAATTTAGTTACGTATCGCATTTTATGAAACAAAAATACATGAAAAAGCTAGGGTGGCAAACAGGTTTTTGTATGAAAGGTAAAAAAGGACTATTTTTAAAATATCTAAATATTTGGTAATAAGTAGGATTATAGCTATAATTCTTCGTTATCTTAAAGATTAATATTCATCCTTCAAAATTGTGTGTGTGTTTTTTTTGTGTGATGATTTATAAATATAAAACTTTTGAACTGTTTCAAAGCACACTTTTTTTTTTTCAAAATGTACATTTTTTTTGAGAAATACTCATTTAATGTAAGTGTCGACCAAGTAGACTTTCGAGCTTGGAAAAAAGCTTTAATGTTGAGAGACACGTCCCATCGTAATAAAGTCGAAAGTTATCGTAGTCATTAGGTCTACTAGAGGTGAACCCACGGCTCGAGCGACCGGGCTGCCGCCGGCGCATTTTTTTGTATATGTTACGGCTAAAGATAGTTGTGAACATAAACTTAAGATTAGCCGGCTAAACTTAAGTTTATCTTTGAGAAGCAGCTAAAGTTCGATAACATGTTAGTTTGCGTCGTGATATTCCATCTTTAGCCGGCTAAAGTGCACATTAGCCAAAACGAAACGGCTAAAAATGTATTCGATGGGCGCGCCAGGCCGGCGGAGGGCTTGAGGGGGCGGTGGGGAGACAACGCGCGCGCAGTTTTATTTTGTAATTTTAAATACCTACAGAAGATTCTGTAATGACCAAATGGTTTCTTATTATTTTATTTTAATGATTAGGTAGATATTGTTTTAAGTAATTAATATTTTGTTATTGTAATAATTGTAATTTTGAAATCTACATAGGCACATAAAAGTAAGTTATCGTGTCAAAACAGTAAACATTATTACATTGTTTCCTTTTCCATTTACTTCTACATTTTTAGCCAAGGGCCTGCGGTTACACTTAAGTTTAGCCGGCTAAAGATAGAAGAAACTAACATTAACACCACGTCGAAGATAAACTTAAGTTTAGCCGGCTAATCTTAAGTTTATGTTCACACCTATCTTTAGCCGTAACATATATTTTGCACTCGCCCCACGGTCGCAATATAAGTCTCGAGCGATTTTTTTACAAAAAATATATTTACAAAACGTCAGATTTTTTTATATAATTTTGTGGTTTGGGAAATTCTAACCATTAATCATAAGGGGTAATTGAACTAACACCTTGATTTAATTTAGATTAATTTTTTTATTATCTACATTCCATTAGTTTTAAGTGCGTAATCAACCTGATATTATCTTAGATTTTTTATATCAATAATTTAATTTATAAGTGCAAGTAATTTCTTCTACACACGAAAACAAAGGAGATTATTACGAAGTCGTAAGTGACATTCCATAACTTGGTAGGTTAGCATTTATAATATTTTTACCAAATTTTTTTTATACCAATGCTCGTATGTTATATAGTATTGTGGTCAAGGATGCAGCTGTAACAAAAGAAGTATCGCTGGAACACACTTCTGGCCCGCTATCGTAGGGTCTTGAGTGTAGCGAGTGTGTTCTGGCGTTTGCTTCGTTTAGAGATATTCGGTTTAATACTCAGATCATGTGGCCAAATAGTTTACTACTACTGTGCATTTAGCACGTATATTTCGCGTATGCGCCGCGTAGGCCTCGAGGCGCGGCCTCTGTGCGCGTGCGCCTCCCAGACATCACAATGACAGCATAATACTAGCACGCCCACAGGGGGCGCCGGTCGACGGCTACGCGGCTCTACTCACATTACCCATACGTACTCCTTAATATAACATTCCATTTACTGTTTCGTAGGAATATGTGTGCTCAAATATAAATGTCGATTTATACATTACTGATCTGTATATCCATGACATTAGTGTTAGCGTGTAGCGTTTAAGTGATACAACGCGTGTACTCTCTATTACATGTCGACTTTAACATGATTGTGTGCAATTAGTATTCTATTCACCTCGGCATGCGATAGTGGTCTAACGAATAATATTATGTCCGCAAGTTGACATTATTAGCAGCGGAACGTGGTTGTCATTTTCTATTCTTCGCCATAATAACAATATAATATTTAGTTTATATCTTTAATTACTCAAGTTTTACCTCTGATTAGTACTATCTGTTCTTACATTTTGCAACCAATGGTATTGTCAAAACTATTTGTAAAACTCCGAATACGTAGGACGATGAAATAATTGTCAATTTTTGTAGTGAGAGTTATTAAAATTAACTTCTATCGGTGTTAAAGACGTCATACGTTTTTGATAAAATGTAAAAGGACAATAAATTGTCTTACAATTGGCCAGTATTCTTCAAGACTTGAAAGGTTCAATATGCAGTGATATTATTCGTCCCTCAGAGATTGAATCTCAGGAAATAAGGCTGCTATGAATTAAATTGTAGTTTTTAAAACTTAAAAAAAAGGATACCACAAGGTCTTGTGTACTTGTTGGCAGGTAACAAACTCGTCAAGTAACTCTGGTTGTGTATGTTGTGTATCCATCTTACTTTAATTTATTTTGTCTCAGAATACAAAGAACAAAATTCACGAACCGCGATTATGATTGCATGGCATGATTAGTTAGTTTTGCATGTATGTGTTAAAACTGAACTGAACTGAACAATATCAGAATTTACGTCAACGTGATTGATTTGATGATTTGTATAAAATAGAAAGACACGGGTCCTAATGGACATTAATTTATGACCGAGTTACATTATGTACTCACGGCATGACATTTCGGCTGCTATGATTCGAAGCAATAATCACTGCAGTTAAACTCTTGTTTTTTGATATTTTACACATTCCTTTACTTTTAAGTTTCTATCACAACGAAGATTAGGTGTTTAGCTAAATCGTTTTCATGCTCTCTATAGTAATTTGATTTTTTAATTATCTACAAAAATGTACTAAGTTGTGATTCTGTAATCTTAAATTGCTTTATGAAGTAATTAATGATTGGTGATTCTTTAAAAAACATCGAGGGCCGTTACAGAAATTTAATACTCATTTTGATTGTAGCATTGCAAAAAATAAGAATGATGAATTAGGAGACACTTAGGATTTTCTTTCTTTTTTATTTGAGTATATTTTTTTATATACATATTATAATATTATGTATTCTATGTTGTTTGACAGCATATTCGTACATTCCATTTACTCAGTTTTATTGTATATGTATGTATATATTGCATTACAGTATATTTTGTCGTGAAAACTTGATGTGCTCCTAAATTACTCAAATACTTCTTTATATTTTTATATTAGCTTTATATACAGTAATAAATTATAATTTTTGTAAGTGTGTTGTTTTATTTTCCCCTGTAGTTTTGATGCTTTGCGAAGTTTGTTAGCTGACAAAGATGGGCTTGCAAATGCGGTAGTGAATCTTGTTTGTCGACGGCCATAGGTTAAGTCTACTCTTGTAATCAAATATTGTGTTACTAGGCAAGCGACTCTGCTTTGCGAATATCCAATATTATTGGTTTGCCAGCGCGGTGTATGATTTTCAAGTAAGATGTAATGTTTCCCACCGATTGCGCAAATATGGCGTTATCTGCTAGATGAGCTTTCCAACACCCACGCCATATGTTAATTAAAATTCAAACTAATATCAAATAATAATAACAAAAAATAGTCATTCAAATCATTTAATTAAAGATGCAGATTAAGGCAATAAGTTTCATCCACCTCATTTTGGCTTTATGATCTTAGTGAATATTACCGTGCTGGCAAATCTATGATAATATTTATAGTTATAAGATACTGGACGAAGCAGCATAGCGGTAAGGTGAAAGAGAATTGATATTTTGGTACGAGTTTATAAAAGAGGGTATGTAGTCTAGGTATGTGAGGAAGGGTACCGTTACCGCAAACTAGCTGCGATGCGATCGCATTATTTATTCCTACTTTATACTGTATTTTCGTAACCATTGTATTTAATCTCAATAAATGGTCTGTAATGAGCCTATTTAGTCGTTCTATTCTTACGATTTTGTTATTAGTACCCCTTTTTGGTTTTTTGTCCGCGGAAATAATGAGATTGCAAAAAAAAAAATCTGTTTAGAGGGTAGAGTCTTATATTTCTGGACCTTACCATAATATTATGGGTTATTTTTATTTCACTATCAGTATTTTATATGAAATTTGTTTTTGGTTTTATCTTCATGGTTATTGGGATCTATGATGATGGGGAAGAATAGTAATTCATAAAAGCGAGTTTACCTACATACAGTAGCAGTGTGTAGATCAAAATATAAAAAAAGTTTGATAGACAATCCGTAATATAATAATTAATTTATTGTGACTATTACGCAGCTTCAAAGCCTTAACCAGTACATGCCGGCTCTAATTCTAGTATACTCGGGCAGCCCTTCTGTTTGACCGACGGCAGCGACGGCTGGGCATCGATCGTAAATGTACCGGTCACACGCTTGTTTCACGTCTTTTGCCGATATGCCATCAACAATCTGAAGACGCTCGTATAGAGGTGGGCGGTAACCATTATACAGCAACCACCGACCGATCTCGTGGCAAGTCCCGCGGCAACTCTCCGTCTTTGATAGAAGCTTGGTCTTCACCTCTCTTTTCGCTCTCTCCAATTCAGGGTCTGTTATCACAGTGCACAACCTCATCCATTGGTCTTGGATTGTGTACAGCATATCTTCTAATTTTAGAGACGGTGCCATAAACTGAACACCCCAGAGGCCAGTGTCCTTATAGTTTATGTTAAAAGCCTTGTAAGAATCGCAGAACTGGCCAAGAGAAGCATTTCGCGCTGTGGCAGTTGGATGATCCTGGCCTCCGGGCTGAGAGCGATCCCAGCCGCCAATCGCCGCCGCCGCCACATCCATCACGGCATTGTCAGGGTCGCAGAAACTGGGCCCTTCCACTGCGCAAGCCACGTTAGCAACAGGCATCGAATCGTCCCTGTATCTCACTTCGGAACCTGTAAAGCGATACTCATCACTGTCTACGCACTTCGTCGGTTCAAGCTTACTCAGGTAACATTGAGCTAAGCACAACAGCTGTTCATGCTTTACACCTCCCACTGCAACTAACACTGTCCTTGTGGGATCAAACAGTCTCTCCACATATCTGCTGACAGTACAGTCGCTGAAGTTGTATAAGTTGCTGCTCCGTCCCATTACAGATTGCGCTAGCGGGGTACCCTGAAATGCTGTGCTATGAAGGTAATCAGATAGAAGTTCATTGTGATCACGGTCATGTTCCAGCATTTCTAAGAAAACGGTGCATTTTTGTTGCTCTATGTCGGCGATAGAGTAGCAATTGTTGAACACGCAGTCCGACAAGATATCCACGACTAGGGGAAGGTCTTCGCATAGACACTCTGCGTAGTAAGCGACCATTTCGCGTGTTGTGAAACACTTGAAGTGTGCTCCGATGGAGGACATCTGTTCTTCCAACAACGCCTTTGTCCTGGCTCTCGTTCCCTTGAATGCTATGTGTTCGAAAAAATGTGCTATTCCGTTTTCGAAAAGGCTCTCATACCTAGCGCCGGCGTTGATGTAGAGCCCTACACACGCGTTGTAGCATTCTCTTTCTTCTGAAGCTACAGTGAGACCGTTGTCGAGCACAGAAGAACGAGTATGAGGCTGATTCTTGAGGAAATTATAGAAATTGATTGGGTAGGGATAGTTTCGCACAGTAGATTTAAGAGGGCACCAAATTCTATTTAATAAATTACATGCTTTAAACATTTTAGATAGGTATAAAAAACAATGTATAACTTTTCAAAGAAATAACACACTTCAAAAATGACAAATAATGAAACGTTCAACAGTTTCCTACCCATAGAGAATTTATTTACGTGCTCTATGCTCTGCATATGCCTCAGCGGCACACGGCCGCCTGCGTTTTGGGCAAGAGTGAAACGAGTAATTTGGGCTAGCAGCCTAGCACAGCAGACCGCAGGACTTTTTTCATATCAGAATTACAAACAGACAGCAAAGTTATGTCTTTCTGTTATTGATCGAAATTCACTAGGACGAAACCGCGGGCAAAAGCTATTATTTTATACCCACAGGGCTTCCACCACCAGAAAAACAAATAAAAACATATTTTAACTATAGAGTAATAATTTATGCAGATAAACATGTTATTAACATAAATGTATGAAAGTAAAATGTAAGAATAAAAAATACATAAAAAGGAAGTAACTATAACCTCAACCAGTACATTCCTGCTCTGATTCTAGTGTATTCAGGTAGTCCTTCGGTCTGGCCGATTGCTGCGACTGCGGGGCACTTATCGTAAATGTACCTATTGCATACATCCTTAACATCACTTGCAAATATCTTGTCAATTTTCAGCATCTGCTCGTACAGAGGTGGCCAGTGGCCGTTGTATAGCATCCAGCGACCTATTTCGTGGCAAGCACCTGTACAGCTCTCTGTATTTGATAACAGTTGTGTTTTTAGTTCTCTCTTTGCTCTTTCCACTTCGGAGTCTGTTACCATCGTACACAATCTCATCCATTGATCTTGGACAGCGTAAAGCATATCTTCTAATTGGAGAGACGACGCCATAAATTGGACTCCCCAAAGACCTGTATCTTTGTAATTTATATTAAAAGCTTTATACGATTCGCAGAAGTCTCCACTTGAAGCTACGCGAGCTACACGAACTGAATGATCAACTCCTCCAGGCTGAGAACGGTCCCAGCCACCGACCACGTTAGCCGCTACGGCCATCGCAAGGTTATCCGGATCACAGAAACTTGGCCCCTCAACAGCACATGCAACATTTGCCATTGGCATTGAGTCATCTCTATATCTCACCTCAGAACCTGTAAATCGGTATTGTTCGGTGTCGACGCATTTCGTTGGCTGGAGTTTGCTTAGGTAGGAACTAGCCAAACACATCATTTGTTCGTGTTTGACACCTCCAACTGCAACTAAAACCGTTCTGGTAGGATCAAAAAGCCTTTGTAAATATCGGCTAATCGTGCATCCGTTGAAATTATAGAGGTTGGAACTAGGACCCATAACAGTCTGAGCTAGGGAAGTGCCCTGAAAAGCTGTGCTATGAAGGTAGTCGAATAATGTTTCGTTGTGATCTTTGTCGTGTTCTAACATTTCTAAGTAAACTACTTTTTTTTGTTGAGTTATCTCTGGTCCTGAGTAGGAATTGTTGAAGACACAATCAGACAAAATGTCGACGACTAGTGGCAGGTCTTCGCACAGACATTCGGCGTAATAAACGACCATTTCACGCGTTGTAAAGCATTTGAAACGAGCGCCTACAGAAGACATTTGCTTTTCAAGCAGTGTTTTAGTTCTGGCACACGTACCTTTGAATGCAATGTGCTCGAAGAAATGGGCTATTCCATTTTCGAAGAGGCTCTCGTACCTAGAACCACCGTTTATATACAAGCCCACACAAGCATTGTAGCATTCTCTCTCCTCTGACACTACCGTAAGACCGTTATCGAGAACAGAACACTCTATCTGAGGTAAATTCATTAGAAATTTTTGGTATGGGACAGGAAAAGGATAATTCCTCAGTGAGTATTTCAGAGGAGACCATAAGCGCGTAAGTGGCTGGGCTATTGACTTGAACATTACAGAATTTGCAGAGTACTTCCTTTGAACCTCATAGGCTTTCGCATTTATTATTTAAATAGTACAGTAACCAATAGGTAAATATCCTATAAAATAAAGGAATTAAAATTATGTAAACAACTTAAAAATAAACTCTGCGAAACATGACGTCTTAACATCAAAAACAGTCAAAAATGACATTTTTAAAGCATCAAAGATGACCTACACCCTACATTGAACTATCCCACCAAACTCATTGACAGGAGGGCGCCACCATTGTTCAACTATACATGGTGGAATTTTGTAATGCCACCTGGAGGGAAAGTACTTACTCTTAATATTGTAGAAAGACATTTTTCTCAAAGGAAACATTCCTTTATTTTTGAAAAGAACTGCATTCAAAGATTTCCAAAAATTTGCTTGCCACACCCAGGAATCGAACCAACTAAAATCTGTAAAAAATTACACCCTGTATTTTTATTACATCGATCGTTAGGGTTAAGTTTATGGATGAAGTCTCTCTAACAACCTTGATAAATCAATTGAAAGAAAAACCATGAAATCGGAAATTATTTTAATTAGGTACCTACATGACAGAAAATTGTATGATATGGTAGTGAATTTTCGAAAAAAAAATCGAAAATCTTTGAATGCAGTTCTCTTTCTTTTCAAAAATAAAGGAATGTTTTCTTTCAGTAAAATTTTCTATCTAAATATATAAAAGGAGAAACTGACTGACTGACTGACAGATCAACGCACAGCCTAAACGGCTAAACGTAGGCACTTGAAATTTGGAAGGGACGTAGCTTAGGTACCGTAGAGGTGCACTAAGAAAGGAATTCCCGAAATTCCCACGGGAACGGGAATTAGCGGGAAAAACGGGATTCACGCGTACGAAGTCGCGGGCGGCCGCTAGTCTACAATATTAAGAGTACTTTCCCTCCAGGTGGCATTACAAAATTCCACCCTGTAGAATTTCCAATGCGCGTCTGATGTAAACTCGGGCATCATGTATAGTTCCAAAATACTGGACTGTCCTGTCGATGACATTGACAGTGGGGCGCCACCGTCAATACCGAATCGCTGGTTCAGATTTTTGCCATGTTGCAAACCATATACATAGTTGAACGATGGTAGCGCCCCCCTGTCATTGAGTTTGGTGGGACAGTTCAGCGTGGGTCATCTATATCACGGGCGGTACAGTTCACTCACTGACTGTATAGCATCTTTAAAAATTACTTTATCACTGGTCTACCAGAATCTCATGGCAAACAAAAATATTGGAAAAGTTTGACTCGCACTTGGCCGGTTTTATAAAAAATACGTGCTTGAAATGTTTATGTTACGGTAAATGTGAAAATTATGAATAATCGCCGGTTATTATGAATAATTACCTCATGATTTCGTAAATGTGATTAATATGAGATCATTTAAGTGTGTATAAAACTAAATAGGCGGCTTATGTTAGTACCTATTATAGATTATTAAATAATCACTGATTTATTCATTTATTACTTTTACCTCGACTGTTGGGAATTATTCATAATAACCGGCGATTGTTAATAATTTTCAATATCACACGAATATTGTCCACTGTTCAAAAAGTTAAAATACTCGTACCTACATATAGTCTAATTTTTTAGAAATCAGCAGAAATGTCATCAAAAATGGCCAACTGACATAAAAATATTTTTAGTCTGTGAACTAGTGATGCGTCAAAACCTCTCGTTAATCGCGAAGTGAAATTATTGTACTTGCGTATCATCGCCGGGTGATCGTCAAAATACTAAAAATATGCAACAAAGTCGCAACATTGAATGTGAACTTTTGTGAACTGATTATGAAATTTTCGAGAACAGGAAACAAACTGTATGCACAGATGTAATCAAAAAACACACTGGACAGTAAAACAATCAATGATATCCGTAAAGTTATTATAGCCTGACCAGGAACATAAAAACACTCGCCATGTTGCGGAAAATTAATGGTAACTAATTTCTTTTAATGGCAACAGTAACTGAAAACTTCATTGACATGTCACCATGCATGTCAGTCTATTGCTGTCAAAGTGTAAACAAACTTTATTTTAAATGTGTGCAATTGATTTTGTGAATTAAATTGCTAAAAACTTTTTATAGGCGTGAAAGAAAAGTGGTTCACAATGAATTTGTGCAAAACTTTAAGAAAAAGTGGTTCACATTAATTTATTTAAACCAGGTTACCTATATAATCTTTATTCGTTAATTTATGAAAATATCAAATTAGCACGTAATCCTGAATCCTGATACATAAAGTTAGCCTATTAATTTAACACAGGTACGACTGTACTCAGTGTTGCAATATCAAATGCAATTGACGCGCCTCTATGCCAGGGTTTTTATGTTCCTGGTCAGGCTATAAACTTCAAATAGTTGCAAAAAGTTCTGTTTGACAGTGTTGCTACTAGTGACATCTCGCTCGCTCAGTTCTTTGTTGCTCTATTTCGCTAGGGAGGTAATTTAAGATGCTATCAATTGAAAGAATATTTTTATTTTCTTTTATTTTATTTACTTATATAGGAAAATATAAGCAATGTAACAATACGTAAGCATAATTGCATAAAAAAGTAAAATAATTTCGTTTAAATAAAACCGACTAAAATTAAACTGACTCCGAAAAAGCATACACTAAAAGTAGAAAAATAATTTTACGTTATCTCCAATATTGTCGAAGTTATCGCTGGAAAACTAAACAAAGTATCGTATATTTTTTATTTAAAATTAATCAGTAATCGGAATAAGTGAATACTAAAAATAATATCGATTAAATTTACAGATTATTGTCTATGACTCACAGGTTACAGCACTGATGTGTCAGAGACAAGTCATAGACAATATGGAGATAACACATGATTTTAAACGTCAAGTCAATTTGACAAGTCTCACAAATTTTCATCGTCCACGTATTTTGCTAAAATAATTTGTTTCAAATATTGATTTCAAACTTGTTTATACGTGAAAATAAAGTTGGTTTCATGGGCTTGTTAAATAATGTGTATGATATTATGAACACGTAAGTGATTATGGTGTAATTGTGTATGAAAGTGTTTGTTTACATCTCTGCTGGATTCTAAAAAATCAAGGTATACAAAGTATTAACTTTATGGGGTAAAGTTATCACGTCAAAGACGTGTGATCGAACTGGTTGAACTAGTAAGCGCGGTAATCATACATTTCGAGAAAACGACCATGAATATGAAATCGCTACGATCCACGTGGAGGTAGTACCAGTAAGATAAGCTTATCTGTAAATAATTTTAGGGTTATAAAATAGGGTAAGTACGTTGGTTCTCGTCCAATTAGCGGAGTTGCCAGCTTTGTGATGCGAAATGAATATCTTGAAATACCCTTACCTATATGTATCATATGTCGTTGTAGTCCTTATATAGTCTACTTGACGTTAATATTACATAAGAATAAGTAAATATCACGGTTTTTTTTATAAAAAATATTTTATGCAAAAGAGGCGATTTCGCTAGTTTTCGTCCAAAAAAATTGGTTTTCGTCCTAGTGTAAGCTAGTTTTCGACCACTGTGTAGAAAAAAGAGTGCAGTTGCATTATTGAGTTAAAACCAATTCTACAATACAGAAGCTATGCATTGTGGTATATCATTTGAAAGATAATTTTGTTAGCTTTCAAATGATATCAAAAAGATATAAATAAGTTTCTTACCTAAATTTAGGAAAATATTGCAATAGGTCGAAGGACAAATGGACGAAAACTAATCTACAGGAATAGCTAATTTTGGTTTTCGTCCACCCCTGTCCGTGCTCATGACGTCATGGACGAAAACACAACAACGTTTAAAGCTGTTTTTTGTTTTCGTCCACATCTTTTTAACGGTTTTTATGGGTTTATCACTGTTAAAAAGTGGACGTAAACTAAAATGTTT